GCAATTAGGACATTTGGAAATATCACAGTGACAGTGAGAAAAACAACTCCAAGGGGATAATATTGGAATTACCCCAAATCTGAGCAGAATCAGAAGGAAAATCTGAGTTCATTCCCCATGGAAAAAAACCAAAAATACACCTGGGAGACCAACCCAAACATCCCTTAAGCAAACCAGGAGTGGGAGCTGGGCAGAAGAGGGCACAAAGCGGACACAGCACCTGGAACTCCAGCATGGATTTCCCCTTGTTGGACTCCAGCATGAAGCGGAAGGCCCCGATCCCGGTGTTGGGGTTATCGGCCTCCTCCCGGTTGCCCTGCAGAGAAATCCCAGCTGTGGGGCTGCCACTGCCATCCCCACTCCTGGAATTCCCAGTGGGATCCAGGAGAGCCTGATGGCAGCACAGGCTGAGCTGTCACACGTGTGGATGTGACAGCCTGCTCAGACAGAGAAAAAAACTGGATCAGTTTTCCCAGAATCAACCTGGGAAGCTTTAGGGAGATAAACAATGACAGCCAAATATTAAAAACAACCTGCAGCTGGTGGCTTTTGACAATCTGTTTTCTGTTTTTCTCATAAGAAACAACCTGCAGGCGGTGTTTTTTAATAATCTGTTTTGCATGGAATTAGAAATAAATGCAGAAATTAGGAATAATTAGCTTTTGATGGTGATAGGCATGAATTGTAACATCTGTATTGCCTCACCCTACACATGAGACGGAAAACGCAACTAGAAATAAGTTTAGAAATTGGAAATAACTTTAGAAATTAGAAATAAGTTTGGAAATTAGAAATAAATGTAGAAATTAGAAATAAATGTAGAAATTAGAAATAATTAGCTTCTGATTGTGATGGGCATGAATTATAACAGCTGTATTGCCTCACCCTACACACAAGACTGAAAATGGAATTAAATGTTTATATAGCATGTATTTGTATGGAAATTTTGAGATAAGAAAGATTGATTTAGAAATGTTATGGAATAGGACAGAAATCGTCAAGAGCGAAATGGAATTAGAAATAAAATTAAAAATGAGAAATAGTTGGCTTCTGATTGTGATGGCATGAATTATAACATCTGTATTGCCTCACCCTACACACGAGACTGAAAATGGAATTAGGAATAAATTTAGAAATTAGAAATAAGTTTAGAAATAAGAAATAAATTAAGAAATTAGAAATAAATGTAGAAATTAGAAATAGATGCAGAAATTAGAAATAATTTCTACATCTATTAAGCTTCAGATTGTGATGGGCATGAATTATAACAGCTGTATTGCCTGAGCCTGCATGAGATTGAAAATGGAATTAGAAATAAACTTAGAAATAAGTTCAGAAATGAGAAATAAGTTTAGAAATTAGAAAGAGGCTTAGAAATTAGAAATAATTAACTTCCGATTGTGATGGAGTGAATTATAGCATTTGTCTCCATTGCCTCACCCTACACACGAGACTGAAAACAATAAATTTTTTTAAACCGCCTCTAAATGACCCCACCTCAGGGTGAGAAAATGGCCCAATCTGACCCAAAAAAAGACCAGCCAAGCCCCCCCTGCTCACGTTGAAGGACGCCAGGGCCTCAGAGACGCTCTTCTCGATGAAGTCGTCGGTGATGCGGCGCGAGGGGTGCTCGTTGAACACGGAGTTCATCAGCGCGATCTTGGCGGCGCTGCGGCGCGCCTCGGCCTTGGTGGGACAGAACTGGGGACACACGGCCACGCTGGGGACACCCCGGGATCCCCACGCACCCCCAGAGCGCCAGCAGCGGGGGCTGAGGGGGCGGCGAGGGAATGGCACCGCCAGAATTGGAATGGAACCCCCAGAACGAGAACTGCACCCCCAGAACTGGAACTGCACCCCCAGATTCGGAACTGCACCCCCAGAATCACAACTGCACCCCCAGATTCGGAACTGCACCCCCAGATTCGGAATTGCACCCCAGAATTGGAACTGCACCCCTAGAATTGGAACTGCACCCCCAGAATCTGAATTGCACCCCCAGAATCTGAAGTGCACCCCCAGAATCGGAATTGTACCCCCAGAATCTGAACTGCACCCCCAGAATCGGAATTGCACCCACAGAATCAGAACTGCCCCTAGTGTTGGTGGCTAATTTGATTTAATTCGTTTTTTCAGGCCCAAAGTGTTGTCAAATTCCCCTCTGAGATCAGGATTTGGGGACAGAACCAAAAGAGGTTCAGAAGCTCCCAGTATGGTCTCAATTAATTTATTAATTAAATTTAATTGAATTAATTTTTTCAGTGGTCCCAAATTCCTCCCTGCGGCCAGGATTTGGGGACAGAACCAAAACAGGTTCAGAAGCTCCCAGTATCTTCTCAACTAATTAATTTAATTTCGTTTAATTAATTTTTTCAGACACAAAGTGTTCCCAAATTCCCTCCAAATTCCAGGATTTTGGGACAGAACCACAAGTGGTTCAGAACCTCCAGTTGCACTTTTAATTCATTCATTACCTCAGACCCAAACTTTTCCCAAATTCACCCCAATGACCAGGATTTTGGGACAGAAGCAAAAGAGGTTCAGAACCTCCCGTTGTACTGTCAATTAATTAATTAAATTCATTTTTTCAGACCTAAATTGCTCCCAAATTTGCCCCAAATTCCAGGATTTTGGGACAGAACCAAAAGAGGTTCAGAACCTCCCGTTGCATTCTCTAATTAATTAATTAATTTAATTTAATCCTGGGAAGGAGAAGGAATGATCTAATCCTGGGAGGGAGGAGGAAGGATCAAATCCTCGGAAGGAAAAGGATCAAATCCTGGGAAGGATCAAATCCTGGGAAGGAGAAGGAAGATCAGATCCAGCCAATCCAACAGTTTTCCCTGATATCCCCTCTCCTACCTCATCTATAAGTGACCAGAACAGGCAATAAAGAACACCAAAACCCAAAAATCCACAGCCAAATCTTCCCAGATTGGGGATTTACAGACCAGGAACAACTTGCAATTAAACCTCCTTGCAACTAATGAGGTTTAGAGGCAGAGGGAGGGAGAAGAACACCCAGCAGGGAGGAGATATTTGGAAAACAATCCTGATGGGGTCCTGGAGGGCATTCCCCGAGAATTTCCTTACAACTAACGAGGTTTAGAGGCAGATACAGGGAGAAGAACACCCAGCAGGGAGGAGAATGCCCAGTACGGAGGAGATATTTGGAAAACGATTCTGATGGGGTCCTGGAGAGGCATTCCTCAGGAATCTCCTTTAAACTAAGGAGGTTTAGAGGCAGATGCAGGGAGGAGAACACATAACAGGGAGGAGACATTTGGGAAATGATCCTGGTGGTGTCCTGGAGGGGCATTCCCCGGGAATTCCCTTACAAATAAAGAGGTTTAGATCCAGATACAGGGAGAAGATATTTGGAAAACGATCCTGGTGGGATCCTGGAGGGCATTCCCCGGGAATTTCCTTGAACCTAACGGGGTTTAGAGGCAGATGCAGGGAGGAGAACACTCAACAGGGAGGAGATATTTGGAAAACGATGCCGGTGGGGTCCTGTAGGAGCATTCCCGGGCGGGGACGGTACCTGGAAGCTGCCGAAGCAGCTGCCCCCGGGCAGGGTGACATAGCACACGTAGGGGGGGCTGGCGGCCGGCACCATCTCGTACAGGACCAGGGCTCCGTTGCGCAGCTCGGCCCCGCGGGATTGCTTCATCTGCCAGAACTCCTGCAGCGCCTCCACCACGTTCACTGCCGGGGGAACCGCGGGGAGAGGGGATGGGGCATGGAGAGAAGGAATTGGGGCATGGAGAGAGGGAATTGGGGCATGGGAATGAGGAGTTGGGGCATGGGAATGAGGAATTGGGGCATGGGAATGAGGAGTTGGGGTATGGAGAGAGGGAAAAGGGGCATGGGAATGAGGAAAAAGGGGTGAGGAAGGAAGGAAGGAAGGAAGGAAGGAAGGAAGGGGCATAGGAAGAAGAAAAAGGGGGAAAGGAAGAAAGGGAATGGGTCACGAAAAGAAGGAATTGGGGTATGGAAAGAAGTAAAAGGAGCAGGGGGTGAGGAAGAAAGGAATTGGGGGATGGAAATAAGGAAAATGGACACGAAAATAAGGAAAAGGGGGTGAAGAATTAAATAAGGAAAAGGAACACGGAAATAAAGAAAAGTGATAAAAAATGGAATAAGAGACAATCGCCCCCCGCCCAGCCCGCTCTATCGGCACCCCCCGCTCCCCCCGGCCCCGCTCACCGCGGCCGTAGCCCTGCGTGTGCTTGGCGAAGCTCCGCACCACGGCCTCCACCGCCTCCCGCAGCACCGCGGGCGGCCCGGGCACGGCCCCGGCTCCGGGCCCGGGGGGCGCGGGGGGGCCCTGCAGGCCCAGCGGGGGCGGCGGCGGCGGCAGCCCCAGCCCCGGGCCCAGCCCTGACGCCGCTGCCGGAGCCGGTCCGAGCCCCGCAGGAGCCCCGGTGAGGCCGGGCCGAGCCCCGCGGGGCCCGGTGCCCACCCCGGGCTGCAGCCGCTGAGCCCGCACCGCCTCCATAGCCGCGCTCCCTCCTCAGCGCCGCGCTGTCAATCAGCGCCCCTCCGCCCTCATCAGGCCAATAGGAGCGCAGGATTGGGAAGGGGGAGGCGGGGAAAGCATCAAACGACCAATCACAACGCGGTGCGCGGCTGGAGGGGCGGGGTCAGGGCGCGGCGCACTCACGCATTAACACAAATAGCGGTGTGTGGTCGTGGGGAGGTAACGGGGCGGGGATTTGGTGGTCATTGACCAATAGCACTGCATCATTTGTTTGATTGACAGGATAATAAACAAATCAAAATGCAGAAAACACATATTACCAGATATGACGGTGCGGGATGACAGCACAACTCTTATTGATCAGCAGAAGCAATTAATGACAAAACAAGCCAATCAAACTCTTGTACCCAGATTTAAAGGCGGAGATTACGCTGCCGCCCATTCACGGGCTCTGTTTTGGTACAAGTGGGCGGCTCCGCGCTCCGCCAATGGCAAGGAGCCGCAGCCGTGCCGGAAGTGACGCCGCCGTACCGGGCTCGGTACCGGGCCCGCGCCATGGAGGCCTGGGTGCGCTTCAGCGCCCAGAGCCAGGCCCGGGAGCGCCTCCTCAGGTGCAGCCGCGGTTCCGCGGGCAGGGGAGGTTCCGAGGGGGATCACGGGAGTCCCGGGGTGGAGAGGCGATCCCAGAGAACGGGGGGTCCCCGGTGATGTCCCCGGTGATGTCCCCGGTGCCCCCCGTGACTCCCTCGTTGTCCCCAGGGCCGCCCAGTACGCCTGTGTGTTGGCCGGGGCCGCGCTGAGCCGCTCCGGGGGCAGTTCCGCGACCCTGAGCCGGCTGCAGCAGCTGGAGGCGCACCTGAGCCTGGGCCGCAAGCGTGAGTGGGGCTGGGGGGGACAGGGCGGGTTTGAGGGGGGATTTGGGGGTCTCACACCCCCGGTAACCCCCCTGGTATCCCCCCCTCCTGTAGTGCTGCCTTTGGGGGGTTTTGAGGGGGGATTTTGGGGTCTCACACCCCTGGTAATCCCCTCCTGTAATGCTAAGTTTGAGGGGGCTCGGCTGAGGGGGCTGGGGAGGATCAGGTTGGTTTTGAGGGGACATTTTGGGGTCTCACACCCCCGGTGTCCCCCCTTTTGCAGTGCTGTGCTTGGGGGGGATCAGGGCAGTTTTTAGGGGGGATTTGGGAGTCTCACACCCCTGTTTTCCCCTCCCCTTTGCAGTGCTGCGTCTGGGGGGCTCTGCCGAGGCCCTGGGGGGCGCCCAGCGCTCGCTGCACCTCCCTGACCCCGTGCTGCGCTTCTGCCTCACCCTGTCCCACCTGAACCGCGCTCTGTTCCTGGCCTGCGACAACGTCCTGTGGGCCGGGAAAAGCGGGGTCCTGCCCGGCCTGGCCATGGAGAAATGGAGCCAGAGGTCCTTCAGGTGAGACAGGGGGCTGGGGGGAGCTTGGGGAAGATTCCTGAGGTTGGGAAAGGCTCCTGAGGTTGGGAAAGGCTCCCCGGGTATGTGGGGTGGGCAGGGAGTGGAATTGCCCTGGGGAAAATGAGAAATGGGATTCCCAAGGGAGAGAGGGAATGGGGTTCCTGGGGGAGAGTGGGGAATGGGGTTCCCCTGGGAAAAAGGAAAAATGGGATTCCCAAGGGAGGACAGGGGTTGGGGTTCCCCTGGGGAGAATGAGGAGTGGAATTCCCAAGGGAGAGCAGGGAATGGGGTTCCCCTGGGGAAAATAAGGAATGGGATTCCTGAGGGAAAGCAGGGAATGGAGCAGGGAAAAGAAAGAATGGAATTCCCCAGGGAGAGCAGGGAATAGGATTTCTGAGGGAGAGCAGTGAATGGGGTTCCTCTGGGGAAAATAAGGAATGGGATTCCTGAGGGAGAGTGGGGAATGGAGTTCCCCTGGGAAAATGGAAAAATGGAATTCCCGAGGGAGGACAGGAAATGGGATTCCTAAGGGAGAGCAGGGAATGGGAGTTCCTGAGGAAGAGCAGGGAATGGGGTTCCCCTGGGATAAAGGAAAAATGGGATTCCCAAGGGAGGACTGGGAATGGAATTCCCCTGGGGAAAATAAATAATGGAATTCCTGAGGGAGAGCAGGGAATGGGATTCCCCTGGAGAGAATAAGGAATAGGATTTCTGAGGGAGAGCAGGGAATGGGGTTCCTCTGGGGACAATAAGGTGTAGAATTCCTGAGGGAAAGCAGGGGAAAATAAATAACGGAATTCCTGAGGGAGAGCAGGGACTGGGGTTCCCCTGGGAAAAAGGAAAAGTGGGATTTCCAAGGGAGAGCAGGGAGTGGGGTTCCCATGGGGAAAATAAATAATGGAATTCCTGAGGGAGAGCAGGGAGTGGGATTCCCAAGGGAGGACTGGGAATGGAATTCCCCTGAGGAAAATAAATAATGGAATTCCTGAGGGAGAGCGGGGATTGGGGTTCTCCTGGGGAGGATGAGGAATGAGGAATTCCCAAGGGAGAGAGGGAATGGGGTTCCTGAGGGAGGGAGGGAGGGAATGGGATTCCCAAGGGAGAGCAGGGAATGGAATTCCCCTGGGGAAAAGAAAGAATGGAATTCCTGAGGGGGAGCAGGGAATGGGATTGCTGAGGGAGAGCAGGGAGTTTGACTCCCCTGGGGAAAAGAAAGAATGGAATTCCAAAGGGAGAGCAGGAAGAGGAATTCCCAAGGGACGGTAGGGAATGGGATTTCTGAGGGAGAGCAGGGAATGGGGTTCCCCTGGGAAAAAGGAAAAGTGGGATTTCCAAGGCAGAGCAGGGAGTGGGGTTCCCATGGGGAAAATAAATAATGGAATTCCTGAGGGGAGAGCAGGGAGTGGAACTCCTGAGGGAGAGCAGGGACTGGGATTCCCCTGGGAAAAAGGAAAAACGGGATTTCCAAGGCAGAGCAGGGACTGGGATTCCCCCGTACAGAATGATAAATACAATCCCTCGGGCGAGCTTAGACTTTCCCACCCCCTGGGCATTTCTGTAGCTGCTGGGAGCATCCCGACCCTTGCGCTGCCCCTTCTCCCCCCTCTCTCTCTCTCTCTCCCCCTCAGGTATTACCTGTTTGCCCTGCTGGTGAACCTGAGCAGGGACGCCTACGAGCTGCGGCTGCTGCTGGAGCGCGCCGGGGCCGCCCGCAAGCGCGGCCGCAGCGCCGAGAGCCGCGCCCAGCCCTGCGCCCCGGGCCGGCTGCAGCAGCTCCGGCTGCAGCTGCAGCTCCAGCTGCACCTCCTGCTGCAGGTGCTCAGGGACAACCCCCCCCTGCTGCTGGACCTGCTCAGGAACGCCTGCGACCTGGTGATCCCGCTGGAGAGGCTGGGGCTGTGCAGGAGCAGCCCCGCGGTGGTGGGCTTGTGTGGGCTCAGCTCGTCGCTGCTGTCCATCCTCACCATCCTGCACCCCTGGCTCAAGCTGAAACCATAAATTTCTTGGGGATTTTGGGGGGTTTTGGCTCCTCTAGAAGTGACTGGCTGGTGCCATTTCCGTTATTCCCGACTCCTGGAGCCACAAAGTTCCAGCATTGGATCCCACAGGGACATCAGCTCTCAAAATGTGGTTTTTTTCCTATTGACTTTTAGGGAAAAAATAGGGGTTCAATGTTCCCCCTTTCTGTCTGGGAAGAGCCTTTTGTGTGGAGCCATCTAATGGGAATATTTGGGGCTGGAAAATGTGGAATTTGGGGTTGGAAAATATGGGGTTCTGTGGGCTCACCTCATCCCTGCTCTCCATCCTCACCATCCTGCACCCCTGGCTCAAGCTGAAACCGTAGTTTTCTGGGGATTTTTTGGGATTTTGGGGGGTTTTGGCACCTCTGGAAGTGCCATTCCCGTCATTCCTGACTCTTTGGAGCCATGAGGTTCCAGCATTGGATGCAGCATTGGATCCCACAGGGACATCAGCTCTCAAAATGTGTTTTTTTTTCCTATTGACTTTTAGGGAAAAAATGGGGGTTCAATGTTCCCCCTTTCTGTGTGGGAAGAGCCTTTCATGTGGATCTAGCTAATGGGAATATTTGGGGTTGGAAAATGTGGATTTGGGGCTGAAAAGTGTGGAATTTGGGGCTGGAAAATGTGGAATTTGGGCTGGAAAATGTGGGATTGGGGCTGGAAAATGAGGATTTCTGGGTGCTTCTCATGGTTTTTTGGGGAGTGAAGCCATGGGTTTGGGGTGATTCTGGTGCCAGATAATGAATCCAACCCCAAATTGTTTGGGTAATTTTTTCCTGCCTTATAAAAAAATCTTGAGTGCAGGGAGAGGAGAATGGGGGAAAACAGGTGTCAGGGATAAATCCATGACTTTGGGGGCTCCAAATAATTAAATTCCAGGGGCAGATTGTCCCTGGAAGAGCAGAAATATCTGGAAGGATTTTTGGGAACTCCAAATTAAATTCCAGAGGCAGATTGTCCTGGGATCTGTCCCTGGGAGAACGGGAATATCCTTTTGAAGGTTTTTTAGGAGCCCCAAATTATTAAATTCCAGATTGTCCCTGGGAAAGCAGGAATATCTTGAAGGTTTATTGGGAGCCCCAAATTATTAAATTCCAGATTATCCTTGGGAGAACAGGAATAGCTTTGAAGGATTTTTGGGAACTCCAAATTGAATTCCAGAGTCAGATTTTCCTTGGATCTCTCCCTGGGAGAGCAGGAATTTTTGGGATATTCTTGAATTCCAGAAGCAGATTGTCCCTGGGAGAACAGAAATAGGTTTGAGGTTTTTTGGGAGCCCCAAATTATTAAATTCCAGATTGTCCCTGGGAGAGCTGGAATATCTTGAAGGATTTTTGGGAGCTCCATCCTGAGCTCCTGGGCTGTGCCAAAAGCTTTTCAGGCATTGAAGGCTTTGGAGCAGGGTGTGAATCCCAGTGGGAATTGGGTGGGGAGCACTCCAGGGCATCCCACGTTTCAGTGTAATTAATTAATGAATAATTTAATGATTAAAGTGCAGCAAACACTGCCTCAGACACTCCTGGTGCTCTTGGGGCTGTGCCCATTCCCTGGTTCAGTGCCCAGCACCTCTGGGGGAAGAAACTGGGTCTGATCCCCCCAAAACTGGTTCTGATACCGAACCTGGTTCTGATGTTAAACCTGGTTCTGATCCCCACCCAAACCTGGTTCTGGTCCCCCCAAAACTGGTTCTGATGCCCCCTAAACCTGGTTCTGATATTAAACCTGGTTCTGATCCCCCCTAAAACTGGTTCTGATATTAAACCTGGTTCTGATTCTTACTTAAACCCGGTTCTGATGCTAAAACTTGTTCTGATACTAAACCTGGTTCTGATCCCCACCTAAACCTGGTTTTAACGCCCCCCTAAATCTGGTTCTGATACTAAACCTGGTTCTGATTTCCCCCTAAACCTGGTTCTGATATTAAACCTGGTTCTGATATTAAACCTGGTTTTAATGCCCCCCTAAAACTTGTTCTGATACGGAACCTGGTTCTGATCCCCACCCAAACCTGATTCTGATGCCCACCTCGGCCTGGTTCTGATACTGAACCTGGTTTTAATCCCCACCTAAACCTGGTTCTGGTATTGAACCGGGTTCTGATCCCCCCAAAACCGGTTCTGATGCTGAACCTGGTTCTAATCCCCCCCCTAAACCTGGTTCTGATAATAAACCTGGTTCTGATACTAAACCTGGTTCTGATCCCCACCTAAACTTTGGTCTGATACCCCCATAGATCTGGTTCTGATGCCCCTCTAAACCTGGTTCTGATACTAAACCCAGTTCTGATATTAAACGTGGTTCTGATCCCCCCTAAACCTGGTTCTGGTGCCCACCTAAACCCGGTTCTGATCCCACCTAAGCCTGGTTCTGATGCTAAAACTGGTTCTGATATTGAGCCTGGTTCTGATCCCACCTAAACCTGATTCTGATGCCCACCTCAATCTGGTTCTGATACTGAACCTGGTTCTGATTCCCCCTTAACCTGGTTCTAATACTAAACTTGGTTCTGATGGCCACCTAAACTAGATTTTAATGCCCCTCCTAAATCTGGTTCTGATATTAAACCTGGTTCTGGTGCCCCCCCTAAACCTGGTTTTAATGCCCACCTAAACCGGGTTCTGATGCTAAAACTGGTTCTGATATTGAACATGGTTCTGATCCCACCTAAACCTGGTTCTGATGTTCACCTAAGCCTGCCCCTGAACTGGGGGCACTGGGACGGGCTGGGAATGCTGGACTGGGTGTACTGGGATGGGCTGGGATGGGCTGGGGGCACTGGGAATGCTGGACTGGGTGTACTGGGCTGAACTGGGAATGCTGGGATGGGCTGGGGATGCTGGACTGGGAACACTGGGCTGAGCTGGGCTGAACTGGGAGCACAGGGTTGAACTGGGAATGCTCTACTGGGATGGACTGGGAGCCCTGGGCCAGACTGGGAATGCTGGACTTGGGGGCACTGGGCCAAACTGGGAATGCTGGACTTGGGGGCACTGGGTTGAACTGGTGGCCCCTCTGTGCCTCAGTTCCCCCATTGTGCCTCAGTTTCCCCTCTGTGCCTCAGTTTCCCCATTGTGCCTCAGTTTCCCCTCCGTGCCTCAGTTTTCCCCTCCGTGCCTCAGTTTCCCCATTGTGCCTCAGTTTCCCCATCGTGCCTCAGTTTCCCCTCTGTGCCTCAGTTTCCCCATCGTGCCTCAGTTTCCCCATCGTGCCTCAGTTTCCCCTCTGTGCCTCAGTTTCCCCTCTGTGCCTCAGTTTCCCCGTGGGCAGGGCCCTGTTTGGCCGCCGGGGCCGCACACTCGCTGTTTGTCTGTTTTTCTCCTCATTCCTTGAGGTTTTTTTAAATTTTTTTTATTTTTTTTCATTCCCCCTGAAAATTCCAGCCCTTCCCACAACCTCTGGCAGCACAATTTTCCCTCTGTCCTAACTCGCAGACTTTGGATTTTTTTTTTCCTTTTTTTTAAATTTTTTTTTCCTTTTTTTTTTTTGAACTCCGGGTGGTGCCAGTGTCACCCGGAGGACGTGGCAACCCAAAATCCACCTAAATCCATCCAAAATCCACCCAAAAATCCACCCAGACCCCCCAAAATCCCTTTTCCCACCTGACTGTCCCCATGGGGAATATCCAGCTTCTGTGTGCTTCAATCCTTGGGGGAAAATTCAGATTTTTCCCACCTCATTTTCCCAGAAAAAGGTGGAAAAATTCCCTTTCAATCATCCAGAACACCCCCCAAAAAATCCTGCACCCACTTCTCCCTTATTTTTCCTTTTTTCCCTGTGTTTTTACCACTTTGCTGGGTTTTTTTTTTCCCTGAAATTTCGCCTCCCTCCCATCCAAAACCACATTTATTTTTAGCAGCCAATTGAGGATGAAGGAGGAGGGAAAAATAAACTGAAAAAAAAAAAAAAAAAAGAGGAAAAAAACCCCAAACTCGGGGATTTTTGTCCCGTTTGCAGTCAGAATTGGAGCTGCAGCCATGAGGGGTGTGGGGCTGCTCCTGGCCCTGATCCTGCTCCCAGGTAAAACCCAAAAATTCCATTTTATTTGGGGCAATTTGGGGCTTTTTTGGGGCTGAAATTGGGACCAAAATTGGGATTAAGGTCTGGGAGTTTGAATAATCCGAGTGCAGCCACGCGTGGTTCCCTCCTTCCCTTCTCTCTGAATTTCCAGGGGGGATTTTGGGGTAAAATTGACCGATTTTGGTAATTTCCCCCCATTTAATTTATTTTTGAGGGAGAAAACGCCAAAATCCCTTTAAAATCCACCAGTTTTGGTCATTTCCCCCCATTTAATTTATTTTTGAGATTTTTTTGGAGGGAAAAAACACCAAAATCCCTTTAAAACTGACCAATTTTGGTCATTTTCCCCCTCCTAATTTATTTTTGAGGGAGAAAACACCAAAATCTCTTTGAATTTAGGCCGGGCTAAAGGGGAAACACCAAATTTAGGGTGGGCTCAAGGTGGGAAGGGGAATTCCTAAGAGGAACCAAAACCCGGAGATTTGAATGGAAAATCTTATTTTTATTGGGAAAAAAATCTTATTTTTAATGGGAAAACAATTTAATGGAGAAAAATCTCATTTTTAATGGGAAAAAAAATCTCATTTTTAATGGAAAAAAAAATCTCATTTTTAATGGAAAAAAAATCTCATTTTTAGTGGAAAAATCTCATTTTAAATGGGATTTTTTTGGGGAAAAAAAAGCCAAAAAAGGGAATTTCCACCTCTGCAGGGGTCGCTGAGGGGTTCAACATCGACGTGGGCACTCCCAGGGTGTTCCAGGGGCCAGCGGAGTCCCAGTTTGGATACCGGGTGCTGCAGTGGGGGAATGGTGGGGACAAGTGGTGAGTGAGAGCCGGGGGAAACTGAGGCACGAAAGGTGGGGAAACTGAGGCAGGAATGAGAAATTGAGGTGGAAATGGGGAAACTGAGGCAGGAGTGGGGGAAACTGAGGCAGGAAAGGTGGGGGTGGGGTGGGAAAGGGGAAAAGGGGGTGGGGAAAAGGAAATTGAAGCGGGAAAGGGAAAAAAAAAAGGTTGGAAAGGGGAAAAATGGGGCAGGAGTGGGGAAACTGAGGCGGGAGTGGGGAAATTGAGGTTGGAAAGGGGAAACTGAGGCAGGAGTGGGGAAATTGAGGTTGGAAAAGGGAAACTGAGGCAGGAGTGGGGAAATTGAGGTTGGAAAAGGGAAACTGAGGCAGGAGTGGCAAGGTTGAGGTGGGGAGAGGAGGAAAATGGGTGGGGAAAGGGAAATTGAAGCAGGGGAGGGGAAAAAATGAGGTTGGAAAGGGGAAAAATGGGGCAGGAGTGGGGAAACTGAGGCAGGAAAGGGGGCAGTGAGATGGGAAAGGGGAAACTGAGGCAGGAGTGGAGAAACTTAGTGGGGAATGGGGAAACTGAGGCTGGAATGGTGAGGAGGGGGTGAGAAAGGGGAAACTGAGTCAGGAAGGGGAAATTGAGATTGGAAAATGGGAAACTGAGGCAGGAGTGGGGAACCTGAGGCAGGAAAGGTGGGGAGGGGGTGGGAAAGGGGAAACTGAGGCAGGAAAGGGGAAACTGAGGCAGGGAGGGGGAAACTGAGGCAGGGAGGGGGGGTTTGAGGCTGGGCAGGGGAAGCACGGAGGAGCAGGAGGCTGCGGCCGGACAGACAGACGGACGGACAGACAGGCAGACAGGCGTGGGCGGCGCAGCCTGGCACGGCGCCCACCCCCCAGAAAAAAGTCAAAAAAAGTCAAAAAAAGTCAAAAAAACCGTGGCCAAAGCCGTGCTGGGGGAGGGGAGGGGGTGGTGGCACCCTCGGTGTCCCCTCTGTGTCACACCCCCCCCCCCCCCCCCGCCATTTTGTCCCCTCAGGCTGCTGGTGGGGGCCCCGTGGGACGGGGACGGCCGAGGGGACATCTACAGGTGCCACATGGGACCCCCAAACTCCTCCTGCGCCAAGGCCAACCTCGGTACCCACGGGGAGGGGGGAATTTGGGGGGTCCCTGGGGGTTTGGGGGGGTTCCATGGGGATTTGGGGGTCCCTGTGGACTTTGGGGTTTCTGGGGATTTGAGGTTTCCTTGGGACTTTGAGGGTTCCCTGTGGGTTTGGGGGTTCCCTGTGGATTTGGGGGGTCGCTGTGGATTTGAGGGGTCCCTGTGGGTTAAGGGGTCCCTGTGGACTTTGAGGTTTCTGGGGGTTTTGGGGTTCCCTGGGGGTTTGAGGTGTCCCACGTGGGAGCCCAAAACTCCTCCTGTGCAAGGCCAACCTCGGTAGCCACGGGGAGGGGGGAATTTGGGGGTCCCTGGGGTTTGGGGGGGTTCCATGGGGGTTTGGGGGTCCTTGGGGGTGAAATTTGGGGGGGTCCCTGGGGGTTTTTGGGGATTCCCTGGGGATTTGGGGGTCCTGGGGGTCTGAGGGTACCCTAGGGGTTTGAGGTTTCCCTGAGGGTTTGGGGGTCCCTGTGACTTTGGGATTTCTGGGGGTTTGGGGATTCCCTGTGGATTTGAGGGACGCCCCTCTGGATTTGGGGGTTCCCCGTGAGTTTGGGGGTCCCTGTGAATTTGGGGGTTCCTTGGGGGTCTGGGGGATGTCCCTGTGGGTTTAGGGGTTCCCTGTGGGTTTAGGGGATATTTTGGGGCTCCCTCTGGCTCTGACCCTCCCCGTTCCAAGTGGGGGTGCTGCACTCTGGGGGTCCCCACACACCCCAGACCCTGCTGAGGTTTTGGGGTCCCCCCCGAGGCGCTCACCCCCTTTCTGTCCCCGCTGTCCCCAAGGCGCTGCGGTTCCGTGGCTCAGCAGCAGCGCGGGCACCTGGGCATGACCCTGGCCGAGTCCGGGACGGGGGATTGGTGGTGAGCGGGGAAACTGAGGCACGGCCGGGGAACTGAGGCAGGAAAGGTGGGGAGGGGGTGGGAAAGGGGAACTGAGGCAGGAGTGGGGAAACTGAGGCGGGAAAGGAGAAACTGAGGCAGGAATGGAGGCAGTGAGGCGGGAAAGGGGAAACTGAAGCAGGGGTGGGGAAACTGAGGCAGGAAAGGTGGGGAGGGGGTGGAAAAGGGGAAACTGAGGCAGGAGTGGGGA